CCCCTTAATGCCGAGGGTGATGGGGAGAGGGGGGACACAAATGCCCTGAGCGTCTACAGCAGAGTGTTGTCAGAGTTCTCTGGCTCAGTGACACTAGTGGACTCTCACAACAACTCTGGGCACACAAAGCTAGAACAAAGCTGGAACAAAGCTAGAACAAAGCTAGAGGGTGCATCATTATTTTTTTCTTCTCAATATTTTTTTTAAATGCATGTTTCCTCAGTCGCTACGACTATGACTCAGTGTATGGATGTACACCTAGAGATATTCTATTACAGAACAAAAAAAAGAAAAACCAACAAAACACCACAAGATTAAATTACCAACTTGTTTACCCGTCCACGGTTTCCCTTCACAGTAAGATATCAGCCTGATACCATAGAACAGACAGTTAGCTGGCAGCAAGTCCCTGTTCTACACGGTCACAGACAGCTAGCTGACGGCAAGTCCCTGTTCTACACGGTCACAGACAGCTAGCTGACGGCAAGTCCCTGTTCTACACGGTCACAGACAGCTAGCTGGCAGCAGGTCCCTGTTCTACACGATCACAGACAGCTAGCTGGCAGCAGGTCCCTGTTCTACATGGTCACTCTTCTCTCCCTCCCAATTCATTAAAAAAAAAAACAACTCCATACAAAAGAATGCGGCTCGCAGTTATGGAGATTAAAAAACCAATCTAGTTGCTGTCGGTTCCAGTGCTCAGACTGTACAAAAACTCTTGCTCTGAGATTGAATTTAAATAGATCTTTGCAGGAAGATTTTCAATGTTCTCTACAGTACATCAGCCACACAAACTCCCATCTCATATTCTTGACCAACACCCTCTTCTCTTTTTGAAATCCAGAATGGGGTACACTCCATACGAGTTTGATTGATTTTCCGGAATATCATAATTCCGTAACCGATGATTGAAGGAAATCATGGCAAAGTATCCGTGATCACAGATATCTCAAGAGCAACCAAAAACAAACAATTAAAAAACTCCACATAAAAAACCCAAAATGAACAAAAACAAAACCATGTCAATGTCACAGCTTCCATGTAGTCAGAGGCAAACCAGCAGCCACTTCTAGATCCAACAGACGGGGATCGGAGGGGGGGGGGGCAAACACGAAGATTTTACAGCTAGCCATAGAGTCACCTTGGAGCACATCATCCATACCGGTCCTGGAAGGAGAGAAGAAAGAGGCGGCGTGAGAATGCAGATAAATTTTCCTGGATTTCCACAGAAACTGTAACAGTATTTCTAGTTTTGCTAGAGTAAATGGCAAAATCAAATGGGAAAAAATTCTCTTTTCATCCAGATGCTGAGAAATAAGTAACTAATTCTGATATAATACATAGGTATGAACATTCCCAAAAGGAAAATGAGCGACGAAACATATATCATTCAATGTCAAGACCAGTTGTCAAGAGCAGGAGCATCACCCCACCCTGCAGTAGAAATCTATATATTGTGTCCTGCAGTATATTATATGTGTGTCCGTGCCTGAGCAAACATTCAACATGTGCAATTTTTTTACTTTTGTAGTTTATTGCATTTCTGTAGAGAATTGAATTTCCTGGTGGTGCTTCTGTCGTTTTTTGTTTTTTTTCATTTTTCAGATATCTCAGTTTTTGAGATATGGCCACGTTTGTAAGCAAAGGGGTGAGCTCCAACCGCTTTTGAGAAAAATGTAAAAAATCAACGCCATTCCATAATATTACGTAATGGATATGTATTTTAAAAGCTTTTAAAAACATACTTAGAAGAAGAATTGGTGTGAAAGATTTTGTGAGGATGGAGAACAATGATTGATGAGTTGATATCTGCACCAGTCTCAAATTTCCCAAAAATAAGATTTTCATTATCTTCCAAATTATCTCTAGTCTAAATAAGCCTGTACGACATTTGGATCCTTGTCCCAGTCACTCACACACATAGAACAACTTGTTACAAGTCAAACAGTCAACGTTTGAAGTGAAGAAAACCACACTGATACAAAAAATGATCAAAAAGTGAACGAGTGAAAAATGAAAGAAAGAATAGATAAACTCATAAGTAAGCCGCACAAGTAAATCCTACCAGTGGCGGTTTTCTCCTGCCGCCCACAGCACAAAGCTACAACGTAAGGGGAACAAACCTCTCTATTTCAAACGAGAATTTCTAGCCTCACACCCACAGCATGAACATGAAATAACGAGGGCAGTTACACAAGTCACACTGTCAGTACCCAGGAAGCAAAAATGTTTTCAGACTAAGTAAAAATAACTTGAATTTACTCCCCCCCTCATTTTACAAGCACAGAACACGAGGCAGCAACTAATAGTGTGTGGATGAGGGAGCCATTTGTAGCAAAACACTACTCACTCTCAACCTCATTTGTAGCAAAACACTACTCACTCTCAACCTCATTTGTAGCATAACACTACTCACTCTCAACCTCATTTGTAGCATAACACTACTCACTCTCAACCTCATCTGTAGCATAACACTACTCACTCTCAACCTCATCTGTAGCATAACACTACTCACTCTCAACCTCATTTGTAGCAAAACACTGCTCACTCTCAACCTCATCTGTAGCATAACACTGCTCACTCTCAACCTCATCTGTAGCAAAACACTACTCACTCTCAACCTCATCTGTAGCATAACACTACTCACTC